TGACCCCCAAATTGCCCCGCGGCCGCCGACGTCCTGGCGTGGACAGCTGGCCCTCGGCTGGCGAGGGGGGCCCGCCATGTGGCGGGGATGCCTGCGCCGCGCTGACCAGCGGTGCAGCGGGGGCGCTGCCGTGCGGCTGCGGCGCGCCCTGCGGCGGCCAGTGCACAGGGTGCTGCGCGTGGTGCAGCTGCGGGTGGACCGGTTGCTGCAGCAACGGCTGGCTGTAATTCGGCGCGAGAGCTGACTGCAGCTGGGGGCCCACGGCCAGTGCGAACCGACTGGACCTCCGCGGCGGCGCCGCGACGCTGGCTGCCCTCACTGTCGATTGTGTCGTGCGGCACGGGAGTCTCGAGATCATCAGGTCAATCGAGAGGGTGCTTACCTTGCTCGCCACGGGCCCGTCGGCGGGGTAAGCCGCCCTCCACAGTGACGGGTTCTGCTGTTGCAAATCTCGGGGGTCGGTCGGGTAGCGGAGCAGCTTGCCGTGGTGCTCGAGCCTGAGCCGCGACCTGAGGAGGTAGAGCTCGTTCGCGATCTCGTTCTCCTTGCGCAGCGCCTCGTCTGGCGCCGCCTGGCCGTGCGACTCGGGTGGGGGCCTGCGCGCAAGGAACGTCACCCACATTGCCAGCGTGGTCTTCTCGTTCGGGCTGGACAGGCCGATGTCATCGCACCTGGCCGCAATGCGCTGAAGCACCGTGGCCCAGGGCACGCGCGGGTCCATCACCTTTTCCCAGAGGTCCTGCAGGGATGGGGGGGGGGGGGGGGGGGGGGAGCGGCGAGCGAGGGCAAGGGCGGAGTGCGGGGGGGGGGGGGGTGGGGGGGGGGGGCGGGGCAGAACCGCGAAGGGCTGCGCCCCCGCGCGCCGTGGCCCCGCCCGCGTCCACCCGCTCTCCTCGCTCCACGCCCCAGCGCCGTGCCGCGTGGAAGCCCGCGGGGCGCAGCTACCAAAGTTCAGACGCAGCTCCTGCGTCAGGTAGTTGCACCACGTCACGCAATCCTGAGTCTTCTGGCGATCTGGGAGGCCAGCGCTGCGCGGGCGGCCCGACAGAGCGACCTTGCCGTTGGCGATGCCCGCGACGGTGCGCTTCTGCTCGCCGCCGAGCGCCGAGCCGTTCAGCATGGAGAGGATTCTAGTTGCGTTGGCGACTGCGAGGCCGCCCACGGCCCCGAGCGACTCCCTGAGCATCGCCGTCCCGTGGTCGAGATCGGCCGACCCTATTGTCTCGATGGAGACGGCCATGTGATCCAATATCTGGCGGCAAGCCGCGACAATGTGTGACATGGCGGAGCGGTGTAAATAGCGACAGGGGGTCTAGTCGGCCAGCAGGCCGCCCTGCGCGACGGCGATGCCTGTCGCCCAGCCGAAATGGCTACGGATGTCATGGCGTGGATGATGGCGATGACTCGCTATCTCCCTCTCTTTGCCCCATTCCCCCTCTCCTGCTGACCGTGCTCCGCCAGCCTCCCGCCCCCCGCCAGCTCCCCGCGTCGTCGCCGTTCTTGCCTCCGTCCGCCTCTCCGCCCCCCCCCCCCCTCTGCCTGCCCGCGCCGTCCGCGCTCCCCCGAACCCTGCTATATGCGCCCTCATGAGCCCCCCCCCCTCCCCTCCGCCGCCCCCATGCACCCTTCCCCCCTCTCCCCGAATAACGATTACGGGGCCCTCGCGGGAACCTCGCTGCCCCAGGGGCCGCGGGCAAAACCAGGGCGACGGGAATCGTGAACGACGCGTCGTGTATTTCCATCGCCAACAGATCTACGCGCGTCTTGAAGCTGCCGCTGAAACCCGCGTCGACGGCGCCCCGCAGGGCCGAACCAAATTCATTGGAAACGCTACGAAGGGGCCCCCGCAGGACCGCTGAGCACCTGATGGGAAATCGCGGGGCGCCCGCAGGGCCCCCCCAGAAACGACGCGGCGAGGGCTCATGGGCAAGTTGCTAAGTCCCACGGGGACGCGGTGGCAGGCGCGCACCGAAGCGCGCAACATGGGTGCAGGGCGCGGCAAAAGGGGGCACCAACCGATGGGAAACTGTTTCCTTGCCTGCAGGCAATCGAGCGCTCGCAGCGCTCCCGCGCCCCAGCCGCGGCGAAGCATGCGCCCGCGGCGCGCTCCGCGCGGGCGCGCGACCTCCGCCTCGCCTACGCCGACGGCGACGGCCTGCGGCGCGGGCCGCGCGGGCGGGGCGGCGACGAGGGCAATGCCGCGAAGGCGCGGTGGATGGGCGGAGAAGGTAATCGGCGGGAGGGGCGGAAGGGGCGCGGGCGCGGGGTGGAGAAAGCGATGGGGTGGGTGGGAAGCGAACGTGGATCGAGAAACCGTGAGGGGGGCACGGAAACGGGGCGAAGCCGCCGTTCCGTGGGCGCGACTCCCGCTGCCGATCGCGGCGACAATCGGGGTGGGGGGGTCCCTCGGGGCCATATTTGGGCCCTGGCGGGCCACCACGGGCGGCTCCAGGGAGGGCCTGGGGGGGGGGGGGGGGTGCGGAATGCAAGTCATGGCGATGATGGTGGCGACGATGATGATGGCGACGATAGTGCTGATGATGGCGATGGTGGGGGTTGTTATGTCCGATGCGGGCCACGCGCCTCGTGCACGGGCGTCTTGCAAGGGTTCGACCTGCAGCGCGGCCTCGGTCTCGAGCTCGCCCCCTGCGCACGCACTCGAATCGCTCGAATCGACCTCGGTCTCGGGCTCGCCCCCTGGGTGCGCACTCGATTCAACTTCGACGACATCGGGCGCTCTGCCAGCGCTGTCGAGGCCGACGTTGCCCCCGACGCCCACGACATTCGCGCCCTCGGGGCCTCCGACGCCCGCCTGGGCCGCAACGCCGTCGCTGGCGCTCGCCCTCGACCTCGCAGGCCTCGGCAGCCCTCGACGCGGGGGCGCCTCGAGGCCGTCGCAGCCGCTTGCGAACCTGCACTCCCCATCGGGGGCGTCGCCGCCGCCCTCGGGGCCCCGCGAGGGTCCAAGAGGGCCCCACGACGCAGCCAACATGGCCCCAATGGGGCCCGAAGAGGGCCCACTACTGTCCCAAGAGGGGCCCAGGAGCTATGGGCCAGCGGGCCCTGAGCTCGGAGGAGGAGGGGGAGGAGGAGGAAATATCTGTCTTGGATTTCGGAGGTGCTGTCTGTGAAACACCTCCGAATTCCCAGGGCCCCAGGCGGTCGCGGGTCGTAGAAATTCTGGGGTTCGATAGCAAACGTCGCTTGTGCACCCCAGGGAAACGAAAAATTTCGAGGCGTAGAACCTGGCCAACTTTCGATGCAACCCCGCTCTGTGCAAGGGCTAGGTTCTGAGGTAGCAACCAATTTCCGCGAGGAGCCCGCAGGGGGGGGGGCCCAGCACGGGCCCTTCGGGAGCCTCTCGGGGCCTTCTTGGGGCCGTCTTGGTACCCTGTTGGGGTGGGGCCTCGCGGGGGCTCCTCGAGGGCCGCGTGCGGGCCTGTTCGGGGCTGCTAGTGGGCCCGCTGGGGCCCCGTGCCGCGCGGGAGTTTGCCGGCCCTCAGGTCATATGTTACGGCGCACAAATTCCTTATACGTTCTGCACTTTTAATGCAAAAAAGACTTCTCCAATACGCCCCTCAGTGAGCCCTCCCCGAAACTATGGGGGCCTCCTGGGTGATGGTCGTCGTCGTCGACGTCGGCGCCGTCGTCGTCGTCGTCGTCGTCGTCATCGTCGTCGTCGTCGTCGTCGACGTCGTCGCCGTCGTCGTCGTGAATCGTCGTCGTCGTTGTCGGCGGCGTTCGTCGTCGTCGTCGTCGTCGTCGTCGTTCGTCGTCGTCGTCGTCGTCGTCGTCGTTAGTCGTCGCGCCACCCTCGGGCCGCGCGGCCACGCGGGCCTCGAAGTCGAGCTCGTGCCAGGCGCCGCCTCCTCGGCGCGCGGGAAAGGCTGGATGGGCGGCTCATTCAGAGTGAGAGCAAGCGAACGGAGGGACGACGGTGGGGCTACGGAAGGACGACGGAGGGGCGACAGGGGGGCGACGGAGGGACTGAGGCTTGCTTGCGTCAGACAGATGGCCCCCCAAGGCACCAGCGATGTCAACGCTGTCAACGTTGACAACGTTGACACCGTTGACGCGCTGCGGGATGAAAGTGGCGCCGCTGGTCGTCTTCGTCTTCTTCGTCGTCGCCGTCGTCGTCGTCGTCGTCGCGACGACGACGACGGCGACGACGAAGACGACCAGCGGCCGGCGGGGCGAAGCCTCCAGCCTCACTCAGCGGTCGGCGGGGCGAAGCCTCCAGCCTCCTAGCTTGGGAGAGACGCGGACGGGGATGCCGAGGGATACCTCCAGGGATGCCACCAGGGACACGACACGGGATACCTCGGGATACATCCAGGGATACCCTCAGAGACGCGACGCGGGATACCTCGGGATACCTCTAGGGATACCCTCAGAGGCGCGACGCGGGATACCTCGGGGCACCTCTAGGGATACCTCTAGGTATACCTCGCGGGATACATCGGGATACCTCTAGGGGTACCCTCAGACACGCGACACGGGGTACCTCGGGATACCTCTAGGGATACCCTCAGAGGCGCGACGCGGGATACCTCGGGGTACTTCTAGGGATACTTCGAGGGATACCTCACGAGATGCCTCGGGATACCTGGTAAATTCGCTTAACATGCACACAGGGCACCTCCAGGGATACCTCGAGGGATACCTCGGGATACCTCTAAGGATACCTCTAGGGATACCTCACGGGGTACCTCGGGATACCTCTACGGATACCTCCTAGACAACCTCGAGGGATACATCGGGATACCTCTACGGATACCTCCAGGACAACCTCAAGGGATACCTCGGGTTACCTCTACGGATACCTCCAATAAAACCTCGAGGGATATTTCGGGATACCGCAACAGATACCTGTGGGAAAACTCCTAGGGATACCTCGGGATACCGCGACGGATACTGCGATGGATATTGCTTGGTTGCTCGGCTGCAGAGCGCAGCAACCTGGTGCAACGGGTGCCCAGCGCGGGCATTGTCGTGGCCGCCTACGCGCCGCGAGCGGTGCCCTTGTCAGCCTTGCCCTTGCCGCTCGCGCCCCTGCCGCGCGCCCTCTGCATGCTCGTCGCCGCGAGGGCGCCCTTGCCGCGCAGGCGGCGCTTCTTGACAGCAGCCTGGTCGTCGTCGTCGTCGTCGTGGTCGTGGTCGTCGTCGTCGTCGTCGTGGTCGTCGTCGTGGTCGTCGTCGTCGTCGCGGTCGTCGTCGTCGTCGTCGTCGTCGCCGTCGTCGTCGTCGTTCGTCGTCGTCGTCGTCGTCGGCCGCGGCGTTTGTCGTCGTCGTCGTCGTCGACGACGATGCGTGTTTCCGTCGTCGTCGACAACGGAAACACGCATCTCCACAGCCTCCTCCGTGCCGCTCTCGGCGGGCTCGCCCGCGGGCTCGGCCGCGGCCGCCGCGGCATCCTCCGGGCGGGGGCCGCCCCTGGCCACGACGAAGGCGCTGTACCTCGCGCAGGGCGGGTGGGGCATCTCGTCGAGCAAACCTGGGAGAAGGTAGTAGTAGTAGTAGTAGTAGTAGTAGTAGTAGTAGTAGTAGTAGTAGTAGTAGTAGTAGTAGTTAGTAGTAGGTAGTACGTAGTACGTAGTAGGTAAGACGTAGTAGGTAGTACGTAGTAGGTAGTACGTAGTAGGTAGTCCGTAAGAGGTAGTAGGTAGTACGTAGTACGTAGTAAGTAGTAGGTAGTGGGAGGGCTGAGGAGAGGGAAGGGGAGGGAAGTAGAACCCTCGATCTTGCACGTGATCTCGCTCTCCTCGGCCATGAGCTTCTTCATGATGTCCTTGCTGTTCTCGGCATTGGTCTTGTCGATCTCCCCGACATCCTTCTCCTTCTCCTGCTCGAGCGCCGCGAGCGCCTCGTCCTGGCGCTTGCGGAGATCCTTCGCCTTGGCGATGATGCCAGGGGGCACGTGCTCCTTGCAGCGCTCGTCACTGCCCCACGCGATGGCCTGCTCGAGGTGGTACGCGGACTGGTTGTGCTTGGCCAGGGCCCAGTCGATCTTCTTCACCAGGCCCGCGGGGGGCGCCTTGCCCTTCGCGCCTCCAGCACCGTCGTGTCCTGACCGTGCCGCAGGCCTCCTCCGCACCGTCGCGCCCTGAGTGATGGTACGCTTGGCCGCGCGCTCGTTCACTTCCTCCTTCTTCTGGCTGAACTCGCACTCGGGGACAAACACGAATTCCTGACCCGTCGCCCTGCAAGTCAGCTTCGAACTGTTCTCCATCAACTTGGAGAATGCCACAGGGTCGCCCTTGAAACGGGGGAGCTTCTCCGCCCCCTTCACGAGGTGGTATTTTCCTTTCTCTTCGAACGTGGCAGTGTGGCACTGGGTGCGCGACTGCTCCATCGTCTCCTCCATGGTCTTCTGGAGCTCGTCTCCGTAAAGGTGGGCGTTCTGGGCCATGAACGCCTTGCGGTCCTCGACCGCCTGGGGCCCCCAATCGTCGAAACCATCGGAGCCCGTCCTGATCTTCTGCATGCGCTTCTTGAGGTTCACGCAGCGGCAGTGAACGGGGTGACCGTGGAGCGCAGTAGTGTCTTCGTGCTCGTAGACCTTCACGCCGCAGAGCTCGCAGACTTCGAGACCCCCCTCCCCCTCGTCATCGGCAGCCTCGGCCGCCTCGGGCTGCTCGTCGCTAGCTGGCCCCTCCTTGGTGCCTGACTGCTCTTCGTCGTCCTGTGCGCGGTGCGGGGGCTGCTGCTCGACGCTGGGCTCGTCGGCAGGCATGGCGGCCATTTGACTCGGCGGTGGATGGCGCGAGCGAAAAGCGACCGGCGGGGCGAAGCCTCCAGCCTCCTAGCTTGGCGTTTGCTGCCTCGGACGAAAACGGCGCCGGAGAAATGCCCCCGCATCGGAATGTGGCCGACGACCTGTATACGTCGCACCCCCTCGCGGGGCCTCGCGGGGAGAGGGGGGGGGGGGCGAGGCATAGGGGAACCTGCGAAGGGGGGGGGATGGGGAGGAGGAGGATCAGCAGGTGCGCGGGGCATCTGCGGCGAGGAGGGGGATCGGCAAGTTCACCGGGCGCGACGCGGCCCCCATGGGGCCCAGTAACGACAAGCGGGTTCGAAAGGCAAACATGTTTTTTTTGTCTTTTCAATTCGAGCCCGCTTTTGCTTGGGCCCCAGCGGGGCCCGCGGTAGACTGGCAGAGGGCGAGGGGGAGATCGAGCAACCGCCTTGGAGACGCTCCGATTTGGGAGCAGAATCACAGACGGCCGCGAGGAGGAGGAGGGGGAGTAAGAAGAGGAAAACGAGGGGGTGGGGTAGGAGGGCGGGCCCATGGGTGCGCGGCGGGGCCGACGGCGCGCGCGGTGGCGGCAGGGGGCGGGCGCCAGTCCTGCTGCGCCACCCAGTCCTCGTGGCTGACCTGCGTGCCCACGTCGGCGCGACGCAGGGCGCCGGTTCCTGCGGCGGGGCGCGCGGGCTCCACGTGCGAATGGGAGATGGGGAAAGAGATGGGGAAATGTTGAGAGGGGGCGGTGGTGGGGGGGGGGGGGGAAGAGGGGGGCAGCTGAGGACGCAGGAAACCAACTGCGAACATATGAAGGGGAACGTGGGAAATCGAACATAGGACGGGCTCGAGCAAGCCAAGCCGACATGACCAAGGCGAGCGCAGCTGACAGCGCGCATGCACGCCTGCCATTTGCGCGCACGCAGCGCGCCGAGCGTGGGCAAATGGTGCACTCGCAGAACTATGCATAACAAAGCTGCGGCATTGCAATGCAACTGGCGGGTTCGGTCCTCGCGCAGAGCTGCCCTGGGCGGCGCCGCCGAAGTTCTCGACGCCGCGCTCGGCCACCCAGTCGCCGTGGGGCGGGATGGCGGGGGGGTCAACGCACGCTGGGGCAAGCTGCGCAAAGTCGATTGGCGGGGGCAGGCGCCGCGCCCGACCTGCACCATTCCACCTCATCACCTCTCCTGCAGCTTCGCGCGCTCTGGGGAGGAGCAAAGCCCTCCCCGCGAGAATCAGCTCTCTGCCCCCCGCGCGGCGGCCGCGCTCCCTCGTCTTAACCTTGCGCCATGTCGACGCGTAGAGATCCTGGGATTGCCGCGCAGTTATTACGCAGCATTCAATGGGCTCTTTGAGCAAGAGCACTGGCCCCAGGCAGTCGGGCCCATAGCGAGACAAATCCCCCCCTCCATGTGCAGCTTGAGCACGCGCGCTGCGGCACTCGCTCAAGAGCGAGAGACGGGGAGAACGCAAGAGAAAGAGAGAGAGAGAGAGAGAGAGAGAGAGAGAGAGAGAGAGAGAGAGAGAGAGATATATATATATATATATATAGAGAGAGAGAGAGAGAAAGAAAAGAAAGAAAAGAAAGAGAGAGAGAGAGAGAGAGAGAGAGAGAGAGAGAGAGAGAGAGAGAGAGAGAGAGAGAGAGAGAGAGAGAGAGAGAGAGAGAGAGAGGGAGGGAGGGAGGGAGAGGGAGAGGGGGAGGGAGAGGCAGAGGGAGAGAGCGAGAGAGAGACACACGGAGGGGCATGGAGAGCTGGGGATGGCAAAGGGAACGCATTGTTAAAGAGAGGGCCACCTCGGAAGGACGGCAGGGCGAAACCACTGCGCGAAGAAGAGGACGACAGCAGGGCGAAGCCACTGCGACGGCGACGATGCGCTCAGAAATATGGCGATGTCTTCGCAAGCGGCGCTAAGGCGAGAGCTTCGCTCTGAATATGCTGCGGCTCGGGCCAAACTCGGGTGCTACGTATGTGTTGGGAGGGCGGGTGGGAGCGAGCGAGACGGCTCGCGGGCGGGGAGGGGGTAGCTCGCGCCCCCCCCCCCCCCCCGCGCGAGCAACTGCGGCAGACTTGCAAGACAAATGCGCGCGGCGCCAAGCTGAGGAGCTGCCAGAGTCATGAATGGAAAGGAACCCTCTGGCGACGAGGACCGATGTGCGATGAATGTGATTAAAGGTGTGTGCTATGCAATAGGTGGCGCCCTAGTTCGGCTGCGTTCAGTGCATGTGCGACGCGGTGAGCTCGTGCACTTTTGCCTAACGCGTAACCCGTGCACCGGCTAATGCACCTCACAGCTCCCTTATCAAGGGGTGAAACGTGCACCGTCCACCACGCCGACGTGGACGCCAATGATATCATCAACGCGCGTAATTTCAAACTGGTCGACTGCCCCCCACAATTCCGCGCCATGCACCCGAACGCAGACCTGGGACAGCACGAAACAATTCGGCGACGCTGGGCGGTCTGCAGCACGAGCGTCCACGAAACATGAGCATCGCATCGCGCGGAACGAACCTGAGTCTGCCACTGAAATCACATCTCCAACGTGCAAGGTGCCACGTGCCCATTTCAATCGTTCGCCAATGAATACCTGCGACGGGGGGGCCGGGAACAAATCTCGGTAGCTCGGTTCTTCCGACACCTTCCCGACGCGAGCGACGGAACAAAACGCGCGGTTTTCACGCGCGCCTCTAATTCGAGGACCAGCCTGACTTCTATTGCATCCTCTGAGCCTTTCTGTCGAGAGTAATGCTTGCAAGCTGCTCTCATCAATCGATTTCGTCGCTCGTTGGAGAAACGCGAAAGGTTCAACCCCAACTCGCGGATCGACTGGGGCACGTGATAAACCAAATGGTTTTTGACGACAAGAATGTCCGCAGCGTACAGAACAGCCATTTGCATGTGATGCTGTTCTAGCAGCGACTCCAGCCTGTCTGCGTGGTTCGACGCGGCGTCCCCGAGGGTCAGAATGTTGCAAATGATGCCTAGAGTCTGCACGCACTGGGAATGGTCGTTCAAAAGCCCCCTCGGGCCCAGGACAGTGCGGCAGAAATACGCCCGCCCGCCGACGCGGGAAGCATGGCGGATCAAGCTGCGGACGCTGAGGGCGGGGGTAGGAGGGGCGGGGGCTGCCCCGGGGGGCGCGCGGGCGATGCGCGGCGGACGCGGGGGGCAGCGATCAGCCGACGAATCGCACATCACCGTAACTGCTGCTAACGCTTCCGCGGCGAAGCACCTGACGCGGGCGAGAGGGTTCCGAACAATGCGTTTCGTGAAGAACTGTTTGGGCAATCGGCGAAATCGAAAGCCGCCGCTGCCGTCTGCGAAAGCAAATGCAAAATCATCAAGCGCGGCCCTTTAATGTTCACAGGAGGGCGCTCCAGCCGCAGGACAAGGGCGTTTAGATTGTATTGGGCAATGCCGCCAGACGCGGCGATGCAATGCATCCAGTCGAAAAAAAGTGTCGAAACTGGTTTGTAAAACGGTCGTAGCGACCTGTCGAATGCCAGGGGCCCAGGTTGATAGTTCACACCGGGATGATTTTGCAAATCTTCAAACCTACCCTTCGATAGCGTCCCAGCGTTGGCTTCTAATGTATCGATAACTTCTCACATGCTGTCGTCGTCGTGTAGGTCGAACGAGCACGGCCGAGCGTTGGCAAAATGCAATACATACTCGCTCCGCGCTGTGTTCCGAACATCGCCGCTGTAAAACCGCAGCCCAGTTCAATCCAACCAGGCGCCAGGCCATGCGAACCCGTGGGGAACGGCCCTGCGACGTGATAGAACACGCGGGTTCGGTTGCAATCGGTATCGGCCAGGGGGGCGGGGCTGGCGGAATGCAGAAACTAACTGATGTTCTTACATCTGCCGCAGCAGTGGCATCCACTTGCGCCCTTCAAACTTTTCGCCTCTTTATGTGCTTGTTCGTCTTGTATGAATGTCAGGAAGGATGCGCGGATGAACGCCTCACCTGGTTCCACAGCGCCGTTGGGGACGCGAATGCCGAATGTGAAGCTGCCCGCGTCCGTGAACATAATTTTAAATACGTGCTTAAGCAAGCCCCCGTACTGTACTCGCACGGGCTTTAACAAGTCCTACTCTAATATTCCAAACGGCATCCATCCTTATCTGCTGAGCGGAAAGACTCGGGGAAATTGGACATGGTCCAGTATATTGCTAAGAATTTGCCGACATTGTCGGGTCGAAGTTGATTTCCTGTGGTGCATTCATCGCCCCACAAGATCACATTCCCACGTTTATTGTGTAGGTGCTCAGCAATAAATTGGGCGAAAATGCTAGACTCCTGGCAAAGATGGCACAGAAGGGCGCTCGGGTGAATATAAGGCCATCGCAGAATGCTACCGTCCTCGTTCGGAATATCTGCCCACTGTATGATGCGCCCATAGGGCGTGCCGATGCTGTCCACGTGGGCCTTCAAGCTCCTCGCGGCATTGCGGCAAATATCATCTGGGTCCTCTTCAGAAATCCCTTCCAATGCCCGAGCCACGGCCCGACATGACACGGAAAACCCTCCCGCTTGAACCCCTATCAAAATCTTGTGTTTCTTGGGAGGTGGCTCCATGGAGCCGAAAACCTACGCAGACAGCATGCAGACGGCCAGCGTGGAATTCGAAAGAATGCCACCAATGTTTACAAACACTTAGTTTGAGCTAAAGACCCCCCCCCATTCGGCGCGCCACTTATGAATGTATCAAAGCACTTGTGCGTAACTTACCAAGGGACTTGTACAAGGACTTATAGATGACTTTGAACATACCGTTTACTCATTTTATGTGTCCGCTAATCGCCATGAGGCATGAAGAATGCGCCGCCGGGGAGCCCCAAGACGCTGCCAAGAAACCCCCAAAAAGCCCCCAATGGGATACACAAAGACATACTAGTACTAGATGTTCTTCTTGGAGGCGTGCGTCCGACCCAAACATATAGTATACCCATCTTGTAGTATATCGTTTCCCGAGCGGTGTGGCCA